TGGAGTGACTGGTTTATGAGAAAAGGGATTATTATTGTGGGTTAGGGAGTCGACGGGGGTCCTACTTCGGCGGTTTGACCACAATTGACCAAGTTGTTACTTGGCTACCATTGCGGGGCCCTCAGGCGCCGAAGATACCAAGGCCCTCTCCAGTGAGTTTGGGAGCACCCCTCTTGTATCTGAGAGTCTCAAACCACCTACTTCTACCCTTCTTACTCCAAGTCTGGTCCTCATCTGAGGGGAAGGCGGCAGGCAGGNGAGCACCCCTCTTGTATCTGAGAGTCTCAAACCACCTACTTCTACCCTTCTTACTCCAAGTCTGGTCCTCATCTGAGGGGAAGGCGGCAGGCAGGATTGCAACCCGTAAGACCGCATCGAGACTCTGTGGGGAGTCAGCCCACCGATTGCGGAGCTCTGCCAGAACTCAGGAGCAGTTCTGGAGGCAAGGAACAGACATGTAACCATTGCTCTCCTTTTATAAACCAGTTATAAACCTTATCAGTATTGCCCATTGCATCTCTGACTGAATATATGATGTGCAACCCTACTTTATTTTTGGTTTGACTTTCAGGACACTGAACAAAACTAAGTGAAGGAATGTCTGTTCAAGTTTCAGTTTCAACTTTATTGATTGCGTGGATTCAGATTGTTGAAAGGAACTGCATCTGGGGAAAGGCAGGATGGAGGGTTGTTTTGTTTGAAGACTGACTAGGTCATTAAGGCTGGGAGGTCCCCATAAGTTTGGGGAGACTCAGTGCTTTGTTTACTTTGGTTTGCATGGAGTGTCAGGCCCTTCTATAAGTTTAGGGGGCCTGATCGCTTTGGAGGCTGGAATGTCCCCATAAGTTTGGGGAGACCCAGTGCTGTGATTTGCATGGAGGGTCATACTGTTCTATAAGTTTAGGTGGCCTGACTTCTCTGACATGAGTGGGCTGATTGTGGTTGACTTTTCAGGGACCAAGTGCATTCTGTAAGTTCAGGTGCCTTGGTAGCCTTGGTTACTTTGAGTATTCCTCTCTTTATTTGATTATGAACGAGGAGGTCTAAGTTGTTCTATAAGTTTACATGGCTTAGCGTCTTCCTGCTTTTATTCTGAGAAAATGAACTTGACAAAGAGAAGGTTGTTCTTTAAGTTCAGGTGATCTAGCCCAATGTCACGCACAGAATGAATCAGAAAGGAATTAATCAGGCAGAGAGTCAGACGGTTCTGTAAGTTCAGGTGGTCTGACTCAAAGCCTCGTACATGCTGGAACTCAATGGTTACAACTTGGCTATACTAACTATTATTCTATTTAAGAACGAGCTAATCAGACTGTTCTATAAGCTTAGGTGGTCTGACTATAGCCTATCTTAACTTGAAGAGAGTATAATTAAGAATAAGATTGATGGTAAGCTGGGGCAGACTGAGCTTAAGTTAGCTCAGTCATATTCAGCCTTAGAAGACAAAGGGAAGACATGTATATATAACTTGGATATCTTAAACAATTCAGGGCGACTAGAATGGTCTAGTCATGTGCCCAAAGAAGAGAAAAGTTGTTGTGCCCTGTGTTTGTGTATACTTTGGCTAAGTTGGGCTCATTCCATAAGTTTGGGTGACCCGACTTTAGGCCTGGCTAAGATAAGGTTCATTCCATAAGTTTGGGTGTCCTGACCTTATGCCTTATGTAAGCTGGGTATATGGGATTAAATCATTGAAAGGTCATAAACTATTGTTTGTTCAGGTATACTTTGGGATGATGAAAGTACTTACCTTCGTGGTTTGGCTTGCATGTGACTGAGTGAGGTTACTACTTAGTCTAAGTTTCAGGTTGATAGGTAGTTGCTTTAGTTGCTCGTCACGTGCTAGAGTCATAGGAGTTAATGTCAATTCTTGCATTTTCTGTAGTAACTTTTTTTACTTAGGTCAATTCTTGCATTTTCTGGGATCTTTTCTTTTACTTGGCTTTGTATAAATCTGGGCAAGCTACTTTCTCTACGGGAAGCGCTGCCGAGATTTCTACAAATCCAATGAGTTAGTCAAATTTTAACTTGTTAAAGTTCAACTTGTATTTTCTTGATATCTGATCTAGTAAAAATCTGGGAAGTCTCCCTTTCTAAAGGGAGTGCTGCCCAAATTTTTACTAATTCAGGGAGTTACACAAAATTGGACTCTCAGAGGTCAAAAGTTACTCTCCAATTCTGAACTTAGCCTTGTGTAAATTTTGGAATAACACTTTTCTAAAGAGAGTGCTGCCGAAATTTCTGCAAAACTAAAGACTTAGTTAAATCTTGTCTAAGTTGAACTCGAGTTGTCTTTTGAGTTCATATCTGACTTAGTGTAAATCTGGGAAGTCTCCTTTTCTAAAGAAAGTGTTGTCCGAATTTCTGCTAATTCAGGGAGTTAGATAAAATTTGACTTTCTAGAGTTAAAAACTATTTCTGCCGTCATATTTGGACTTGTATAAATTCTGGAAAGACGTTTTTCCTACGGGAAGCGCTGCCTAAAATTTTTTAGTTTAGAGGGGTTAGATTATATTTTGACAGGTGGCGATTCTGGTAGTCCACTCTGAATGGGGGAGATCTTGCCATGTTGCTTAGAGGTAGGCTTAAATATAGTTAACTATGATAATTTGGGTTAGATCACGATATGGAGATTGTTCTCTATGGACTTATAGGTTTAGCCTGAGGCATTGACCTGTCATGTGTTACAGGTCCTCTTGATCGTTTGATTCAAGATCCGGACTAGATTCAGCTTGATCCCTTGAGGGCATCATCTGTTATCACTGATAACAGGTCGGTTGTAGATTCGTCGGTTTACGACTCAATTCCAACTCGCCCTCTGTACTCAACCTAAAAGGCTTTAGCACTGATGATTTCATTGTTTCATTAAGGTTTCACCCGGACTTTTATTGAATGGTCATTTAACAGAAGTACCGAGTATTTAATTATGGTTGGTTGGACAGGAGGTTGGGGCTTGCATGGCTAAAGCGAGGGGCATGAGTGTCGAGGATGGTTAGGGCTGACTCCGTGTAGTGAGTGGACTGTTGTTTGATGCTTTCATGTGATTGCAGGTATGTGTTGTGGCTTAGATTCTGGATTTGATTGCCTGCAGTCACAAATATATATATATGGTTGTGAGGACCCCACTGAGACTGTGAGAAATGATCGTCACATACTTACCCCTTTACGTATGCATACATGGGAGTACCTGGGATGAAGTTTGCGTGGCCTAAGGGGCCTCGTACTAAAAGCCTGCTGAGAGGTTAAGACTGAGAGGCATGGGAAAGACCCTTCTTTTTATTTGTTTGCTTCTTGGAGGTTTTCTTAGTCGGACGTTGGTCCTGGGCCGGGGTTCAAGGTCCTTGTTCAGGACATCCCAAACCCTAGACTCTGCAGGGGAGGGATTCCCCCTCGCGCAGAGCCAATCTGCACTACCCGTCGAGGCACCCCACCCTGAAGGCGGAAATGTCGCGAGGACCGAACGGCATGTCCTTCAGCCGTTCAATATCGTGTGGGGTAACCCCTCACGATATATTCCTTCAGCCATTCAATATCGCGAGGCCGGAGCCGCGATGACCACGTATGATTGGCATCGTTGGTTGGTATGAGACTGGCCTGCAGCAACGCGGTTTTATATTGGAACCCCGCGGGCGACGTTTCGTCGCCCTAGCGTATAAAAGTTATGGGATCAAAGGGACCCGCACATATGCACGAACACTTGGGATTACTATAGGCCGCAAGCATCACCCGAAAAGGGGAAGGTTCCCCAAGGTCATGTTTTCTTTTGGAATAAGGGAGCCTTCGACCTATTCTTTCTTGCTTTTTAAAGATTTTTATGGTTGGACGTTGTAGTCTGTGGCAGCCGTCAAAGTCAAACCCCTTGACTTTTGTCTAGGCCCGGAGTGGGGCTCATCTCCAGGGCAGTAAGAAACGACTGCCACCAAGGGTATGGACCTGTGTACCACCTGCTCTGCATAGAGTGCAGAAGAGGGTGTGTTGTCTTCAACCACGCATGACGGTTGTCGAGCGTCGAGAGATTAACTCGCGCGTCAGCCGACACTTGAGTGTCGAATGCGGCCCTCGAGATTAACAAGGACCGCATGAGTATGGGTACTACATAGTACGCCATCATTGGGACCACTTGTGTACGCTTGCATTGTGAGTCGATATGAGTTAGTCCTGCGCCCGCGCCTGCGCCCGCGCAGTTTTATATCAAGTCTCGCGCGCGACACCTATCCGATTTCCGCGTCGAAAAATTATGGGATGGCGACCGAGGGGCTAGGAGTGTTGTCGCGTTGTTCGGTGTGTGTGTGTGTGTGTTTTATTTTTTTTGTGTTCGTAAAGTGGTGTGCGTGTGGTATGTGGGATGCGTCCTAGTCGACCGACGTCGAGTCGCACTTGGGACCTCAGCCCCCCAAGATGTCGGTTCGCGTGCGGGTCCAATAGTGGCGTATTACCACGTGTACCCCGTATGCTACAGCGAACGAGAAACGCCCTCGGCTGGTCCACCTCTGCGATTGCAACTTATTAACTCTCGTATTGTGGACTGGTAGCTCGGCGGGGATACGCCCACCGAAGGGAGGTGACAGCTCCCGTAAGGTGGAGGTAAGTCGTGCGTCGTGTAGGCCCTATCCTGTAGTAGGGGCTCGTGAGAGGTATGGCTGGCGCACTCGGCCGGAGCGGCTTGCGGGAGCTCTGTATGTATTTGCGACGAGGATTTAGACCAACTCCTGCATGACGTGGCCGGGAGGGTCCCGCGCTGCCCTGGTGCGGTGCCGGACCGATGCGCTCGACAGGTGGTGCCGTTGCCGAGGATAACGGAAGCCTACCGTTGTCCCTGGTGGAACGATATCCGAGTATGAGATTGAATGGGAATAGGTATAAAGGAATAACGAGAGGGTAGGGAAAATAATGAGTGATTAAGTGTAGGTAAGGGAAGCCTAGTAACTTTATATGTTCGTTTTTTTGCCTACCTGATCTAGGAAGACTATTAGGGACGGTTGTATCCGCTTCAGGTAAAGTTTATGAGGAAGTTAGATAGGACCTACATGATAGACCCTGTTGAGGTAGAATGCTGAATAGGTGAGTGTCCTTACTTTTCTTTTGACAGGAAGCTTGAAAAGAGAGGTCTGTCAAGATGCCTGAGAGTGGCGGTGTATCGGATGACGCCAGAAAGGTCCTGACGCTTGAGGACCTTATTGCGGTCATTGACTGGCATGAGAAGACTTCAAGCAATGTCCCAAAGGTTGATACCTTTCATTTCAATGGAGAAAGAGTTTCGGACTGGTTGGATCTGCTGGAGCAGGCAATGGTAGGTTGGTCCGATGCGGTGAAGTTCCAGCAAATTCTGAGATACGTGCTTCATGGGCATCATCAAGAAGTGGGGAAGGTTGTGGATGCCGCCCACGGTAGCTGGGCTAGGTTCAGAGAGGGCATGCAGCGCAAGTATCGGTTGGGAGATGGGTTGCTGACCACCACGGACCTCGAGGCAATGAATAAAGATATCTTCACTACGATAGGGGCCTTTGTGCAGGAATTCAAGAAAAGGGCGAGGAAGGTTCACGGGATCTCGGAGGAGGCGCAATATGTCATCTTTTTGGGGCTACTTACTGCATCAGAGGCCTCTGAGTTGACGAGTCATGGAGGAGGCAGTGTCAAGCTCACCTGGGTCACCATTGACAAAGGGGTGGAGGATGGAAGCCTGGACCAGGTGGAGCAGCACCAGGTGCGCCTACAAAGGCAGAAGAGGAATGAAAGGGATGCTATGGCATCCGGGACACCGGAGGTGAGAAAGATTATCACCGACATACTAACAGAATTAGACCCGATGATACAAAGAAAGGTGACGACGACAGTCCAAGGTAAGGCCAAGGAGGCTATGGTGGAGGAGGCTACCCAGGAAGGTTGGGAGGAAGAGGAGCCGGTACCTCCGCACCTCTCGAAGGTGCAACGTAAGCAGCGCAATCTAGCGCAAGGGGGGCAAGGTTCAGGGAAGGGCCAGGTGCCCCAAGTAGTAGTAGCTGCCTCCCCGAGTGCGTCGGCACCTTCGAGTAGTGCAGATCCCTCGCAGGCACCGGTACCACCTTTCTGGCAATGGCCATGACCCATAATCAACACCTGTGTGCCTTGGGGAGGGCCGGTGCCTTCTGGATAGGTGATACCCTATGTCGGGCCGCAGACTAGTATGCTGCCACCCATCTACCCTGCAGCCCAGGCCCAGCCTATTGGCCCGCTGCCATCGCCCGCTCCCAGTTCACAAGGGAGCGTGGCTGGAGGTGGGAACCAGGGCCAGGGCAATTAAGGCAATGGAGGAAGGGGTGGTGGAAGAGGAAGAGGTAGGAATGGTGGCGGTCGAGGGGGACAATGGAATGGCCAAGGCCAGGGGAATCAAGGAGGTCAATGGGGCAATCAAGGAAACCAAGGTAACCAAGGGGGCCAGGGTGGTGGAAAGACCCGTTTTGATTGGAGGACCGCTATATGCCAGCATTGTTACCAGCAAGGTCACACTATACGGTTCTGCAATATAAGGCGGGAAGATGAGAGAAAAGGGCTGATCTATTCTAATATGGATGGAGACATATATGATCAGTTTGGAGAGTTTATTGATAGGAAGCTTGGTGGAGTAAGGGCGGAAGCCCAGCGGAGATTGGCAGCGCGACCACCACCTCCTGCCACGTTTAGGCTGTGGCAGGAAAGAGAGGATCCACCAATTACAATAGAGGAAGTGGGAGATGATGAGGAAGTGACTCAGAGACTACGGGCGGGGGATGTAAAAGAAGGGCCCATAGTCGTCGAGTCAGATGATGAGAATGAGGGAGAAATGGTAGAACCTCCATCAGTTTTGTTAGGGGAAATGGAGGACCTGTTGGGAAAGCTGGGAAGGTACCTACAGAAGTTGGTGGACCTCTACGAAGGAGTGAGGGAATGAAGGGCTAGTATCCCCGAGGTGTTCCTTTACGACTCCAGTCCGGAATCGATGCCCGGCCGGCCCGGAGTGAACGTAGTGGGATCAGGCCCGCGATCCGGAATGTTGATGATACCTCCCACTCCGCAGGCGAGACAGGCACAAGCGGCACAGACGCGAGGAAAGGTCAAGGCTAGTGCGAGTCAAGAACCTCCTCGACAAGAGTCTGAGCCAGGGAAAAGGAAGGAGGCAGTGGAAGTAGAGGATGACGATGATGAAGAGGAAGAAGACGAGAGGCTGCGCCAGGAAGAGGATCAAAGGGCGGAGCAAAGGGCAAAGAAAAGAGGAGCCAGGGAAGAAGCCGAGCCGGTCCTGCGTGATGGACCGCCCAAGAAAAAGAAGTATGCGGTTCGGCTGGAGGAGGGGTTCGACGTAGAAAAAGTAATTTATAGGTTGTTGGAAGGCCATAACGACCTCATGACCCTGAAGGAGATTTTTGCGTCAGCCCCCAAGCTCCGCGATGGCCTGAAGGGGAGATTGTCGAGGCGTTTGGTGCCTAACGTCCATCTGGGTACGATCCTGCCAAAAGAGGCGGAGTGGATAAAGTCAGGGACAAAGATGGATTGGAAGTGTGTGGCCTGTGGCACGGTAGACTTGGTGGTGAAAGGCTTCAGAAGTACAACAATGGTGGACACAGGAGCCGAGACGAATATTATTCGGGAAGATGACGAAATCAGGTTCGGGTTGGATATAGACCGATCTGATTGCGGTATTCTGCATGGGGCCAACTGCAAAGCCGTGTCTTGTGGGACAGCCTCGAATGTGCTCATCGAGGTTGGAAAAGTGAAGGCCAGGGTATGCTTCTTCATTATGCCGGACGTGGATCATGGGATCCTCTTGGGAAGGTCACTCTTGAGCAGGACAGAGACAGTGATTTTCAACAAGCATGATGGGACTCTGAGCCTCGTCCTGTGTGGCCCTGCCTGCGGGAACTATGAGGTAATTACCTGCAGAAATACAGGGCCAAGGAGCATAAGGAACCGACCCAATCCGGGATCTTTTACGATTGAGGAGTCGGAGGGTGAGCGTCGGAGGCTCCTAGCAGAGCCGGAAGAGGAGGAGAGAATCAAGGCATTCTCCCTCAGCTTGTCAGATGTGAGTAAGGTCATGGATATAGTGGCCGCGCATGAGATGGCAGATCCGGATGCCATCCAGGCATTGAGGGAGCAGGTCCAGGAGAGTCCCGAGGTTGGGAGGTTGGAATTGGTGTATCGACTTCCAGATGGCAGGAGGAACCCGGCGGCAGTACACGCACAAGCAGTGAGCCGGCCTTTTTTAGGGGACGGTTGAAAGAGGGATCCCAAAGGCGGTACAAGACAGTAGATAAGAAGTGCCGCCCAGTTCCCATTCTCATTACGGAAGATGAAGAAGTATATTATGAGAGGGAGCGAGGGTTGATACGGCAGATGAAGGAGAGAGCCTCAGCAGAGTCGTGCCGTGTCAACGAAGGGAACAAAGATAAGCTGATAATAGGGGAGGCCGACTTCCTACTGCCTCAGGAACGGGCATTGATGGTGGAGTTAATGAAGAAGAGGCATCGTGCCTATGCGTTTAGCGACGAGGAGCGCGGCAAGTTGGATGTGGATAAGATACATATGATCCGCATCCACACCGTGCCACACGAACCCTGGAACCTAAGAGGGGTGCGATATCCTAATCCTGACGAGGAAAAGAAGGTGGTGGACTACCTCAATGACAAGATACGTACTCATGTTGCCGACTACTCGAGTGGGCCGTATGCATCCCCGTGGTTTTGTTTTATCAAGCCTAACGGGACGCTGCGGTGGGTGCAAGATCTACAAAGGCTAAATGCGGTGACTGTGCGAGATGCAGGGGGGCTGCCCAACACAGACGCGCTGTCAGAATCCTGTGCTGGAAGACCTATAATCTCCCTTATAAACCTTTACTCTGGATATGACCAATTTTCGGTCTATCCGCCAGACAGGTCAGTGACAGCTATGCATATGCCTCGAGGATTAATCCACATAAATGTGGCTTCGCAAGGGTGGACCAATGCAGTAGCGATGGTCCAACGGGCCATGATTCGGGCTATGCAGTCAGTCAGCCCACATATCACTCAGCCATATATTGATGACTTGGCAGTGAAAGGGCCGACAGTAAAGGAGAGTGACGAAGTCTTGCCAGGGGTGAGACGTTTTGTCTGGAAGCATATCTAGGACCTTGAGAAGGTCCAGAACTTGCTCGAAGAACATAATCTCACTGCAAGTGGGGCCAAATCCAGACATTGTATGAGGGAAACAACTATCTTGGGGTTCGTCTGCAGTGAGAAAGGTCGACGACCGGATGTAAAGAAGACGGACAAGATTACTGAGTGGCCAGTACCGTTCCACTCGATAACGGATGTTAGGAGCTTTCTTGGTACGTATGGGTTCTGGAGGGCCTTCGTCAAAAATTTCGCTGCGAAGACTAGGTATTTGAGGAAGCTGGTTCGTCAGGATCAGGAATGGGTTTGGGGCGAAGAACAAAGAAAGTGGTAGCGAGAATGAAGGAGAAGTTTCGAGAAGGAGGGTTGGTGTTGGGAGCGCCTGACTATGACGCCACGGAGACGAGACCCTTTATTGTCGAGACGGATGTTGGGCCGACAGCCTTAGGTGGAGTCCTAATTAAGGCAAACATAGAAGGGAAGGAAAGACCTTTGAGATTCGAGAGTTGAACTCTTTGCACGACTGAGAGGAATTACTCTCAATTCAAGAGAGAGACTCTTATCGTCCTTCACTGTCTGCGAATCTTTCGAAATTATATCTTTGGTAGAAGATTTATATCGAGAGTGGACCCGACTGCCCTGACCTACTCTCTAAGGAATTACGTTCCATTAGATCCAACGGTTGCCAGGTGGTTGACGTACATCTGAATGTTTAACTTCGAATTGGAGCGGATTCCTAGGAACAAGAACCGGGCAGACGGGTTGAGTCGTATCAACTGGGATAGGCAAGAAAGAGAGGCGGTGGAGAACACGTCCCCAGTTGACGGATTTTTGGATCAAGAGGAAGATGTCCGCCTCCATATTAACAAGTGGTCCCCGCGAGTGCCCAGTTGTGTGGGCCATCCTATTTGGCAAGCGCCAAGTGGGTATGAACGGAAGGCAGAGCTAGTTTTTAAACCCTTTGAAGAGGAAGATCCATGGGGAGGTAAAAATGTCACAGTGGATGACGAAGTTAGCAGTGGCAGGATCGCATAGCCTAGTGGAAGACATGAGGATGATAGAGGAAGGGCCAGATCAGATAGAAAGGCACGAGAAATTGATGGCGGGAATGTACCTCCTCGTCAATACACTACTGTAGGAAGGCTTTGGTCAGACAGGCTCGCTGAATCCGACTGAGAATAAGGATATGGTGCCGGAGAGCCAGGACGACGAGTTTGAGGAAGGGGAGATCAAAAAAGTTTTCCGTGCAGAGGAGTATGAGGGAATCTATCTAGAACTGAGGCTTCTTCTATCATGTGAAATGCGGCTTAGAGATGCGAGCGATAGGGCTCAAAGGATGATGCAGCGCTACTTGGTGAGGGATGGTCATCTGTTCGTAAGAAGAGAAGTGGGAAATCCTAGGAGAGTCGTCTGTGGTAGGAACTGTCAGATTGACGTTATGGCAGCACTTCATGATGGCATTGCAGGAGGGCATCGAGGGGTAAATGCCACATACACCAAAATAAGTGAGCTATATTACTGGGATGGGATGATGGACATGATTGGGAAGTTCTGTCGGTCTTGCGTGCCCTGTCAGGAGAGATCTCATCTAAGGTCAGGAGAGTCGTTGCATCCAAGGTTGGAACGAGAAGTAGGGGTCGTGGTGCATCTCGACTTACTTTTTATGCCGCTTGGGGATCAAGGCTACAACTACATCTTCGATGTACGTGATAACCTTTCTGGCTTTGTAGATGGACGTGCTATTCGTACAAAGACTGGGCCAGTCTTGATTAGCTGCATAGAGAAGTACTATTTGCGCTATCCTTTTGTCAGAGAGTTCGTAATGGACAGGGGGTCGGAGTTCACCTGCCAGGAGGTGCAAGAGTTGTTATCAAGGTATGGTGTAATAGCCAACTACACCACGGCCGCGCACCCCCAGGCAAATGCTCCGGTGGAAAGGGGACATAGTACCATTACGAGCCTTCTGGCTAAGTGGACCGAAGGAAGGCCTAATCAGTGGCCAAGATACCTGAGGGCGACATTCTTTGTCGAGAACATTACAGTAAAGAGGACCACTAAATACATGCCGGCTCCGCTATGGTATGGAAGGCATGCCACATTTCCAATTGAGAGTTTTCTTAAGACACGGAGGCGTCAGGATCTGGAAGTTAACCTGTCTTTTGAAGAGTTACTCGATATTCGAGCGCGTCAGGTGAGTGCAATAGGAAAAAAAATTCAGGAGGCATCTAATAAGGTGGAAAGGAGCCGTATGGATGATAAGGCTCGCTGGGATCAGTCAGCGCGAGTGAGGAAAGTACCTTTGGCGGTTGGGGATGTTGTGCTCCTGTACGACTCGTCCCTGGAAAAACAGTGGTCCAGGAAGCTCGATAAGAGGCGGTTAGGTCCCTACCGGATCGTGCGATGTGGAGACTTTGGGGCATATCAGATGGAGGAGCTAAATGGGACTGATTGGAAGGACTGGGTGTCTGGAACGAGGCTGAAGAAGTTTGTGGCAAGAAAAAAGGTAAGGTGAAAAATCGAACTCTTTCTAGAGTAAAGGTGATAGGATGTGTAGATTAGATAGGATGCGTGTTGCATGAGTCTGGTCTGGCCTGAGCTTGCTTTGAGCCTTTGAATATCACTTGTTTGCTTACCCCAACGTGTTCCTATTGTCTCCTTCACCTGTTGTGCAGGTCTGACTTTACGAAGACAGTCATGCCAAGAGGAGGGAGGGGGACACGGTCGCCACGGAGGCCGTTGGGAGCATCAGGAGGATATGAGCAGCATGGGTCTCGCCACCGGGAGAGCACGACGGTATATGATGATGGGGACATCGAGCTGTTCTTGGATAGTTTCTGGGGGTATGCTGAGAGCATGGGCTGGATCACGATGCAGGCGATCGAGAGATTGAGAGGAGCCGACAGGTTCGCGGAGCCCATTGCCCAGATTCGGAGGGAGGCGAGAACGAGATCGGAAGTGGAGATGCGGATGCAGGAGCTACGACCCTCGCCTGTGGGACCCGATGGCAGGCCGATTCGCCTGGAGATCGGGAATGCGAAGGAGTTTATCCCCGCCTTCGACTGGTTCATGCAGGGGCAGGGTATACTGAGAGACGACTGGGGGAGGACGCTACCCCTCTGGACCAGGAACGCGGAGAGGCCATTAGCGAGGCAGATCAGAGATATGGCCCGAGACTGGGAGAGCTGCAGGGCGCACTTGAGAGAGGCCTTTCGAAGGCCAGAGCCACCTCAGCCCAGAGTCAAAAGACGTTAGAGGAGCAAGAGGCAGAGGGATCCTGAACCCGTGGAGGCCGGACCATCTCGAGGGGGACGGAAGGCACTCGCCAGGAGGGAGGAGGAGTCGGCACCTGAGGCTGAGAGGCGAGGGGCATACCCTGAGTGTGGACTAGGACCGGTGGAATTTCGCCGTTTTACTAGGAGTGGATCGGGGAGATCTCCTTCACGTACACAGGAGGAGGAACCAGCGCCTGAAGGGCCGTTAAGGGAATTAGAGGCACATCTAGACGTCTCTCGGTGGAGAGTGTCGCCTCGAGGCGAGGAGCATGGAGGACGGGCAGAGGAGGTACCACGAGAAGAGGTACCCTGAGAGGAGGTACCACGAAAGGAGGTGCCACGAGAGGAGGTCCGAGATATTCAGAGAGAGGGGAGGCTGGGTGTTGAGAAGGGACGTACCGGGAAGGAGGTGATAGAGGTTGGAGAGGACACACCCCCTCGGATGCCAGTTGTGGGGCTGAGGCTTGGAAATCCGCCAGGGAACGCACGCGAGCGAGATGAGGAGTCGCAGAGGGAGGAGGTCCCGTTACCCTCATCAGAGATGGTCCCCTCGCCAGGATGAAAGGCAGAGAGGGAAGGAGAGACTGCAAGTGTGAGGGGAAAGCCCTTGGCCTTGATTGACAGGTACTTAGCAGCACATGCCCTGGAGCATCCAGACCTGGAGGAGCCAGCACCCGTAGAGTCGCGCCAGGAGCCATGTCAGCCTGAGAGAGAGATAAAGGCAAAAATCCCAGGGAGGACAGACCATCGTACGAGAGATAGGGCGCCAGCGGGGGAAACAGCTGAAGAAAAGAGGGCGAGAAGAAGCTGGAGGCTAGAAGAGATATGACAGGAAAGGCAGAGATTGGAGGCGGCAGAGGCACTTCCGGAACAGCAGCCCAGTGCGCCACCCAGGGCCCCCGAAATTCCGGAGATGTGGAGGGACTTTTGGGAGCAAAGAGGAAAGGAGCTTCCTTCGCCAACAAGAGCTGGGTTTGGGGTAGCAAGGAAAGCAGAAGAGAGGCTGGATCGCAAAATCAAGTTCCAGGCAAAGACAACTTTTGACCGGTACTTGTTATTGGAGAGCGATCTGGCAGGGAAGAAGACAAAGGAAGAGGGTCATGGGCTACGCCTGGAAACAATGGAGGTAGAGATCCAGGAGCTCAGGGCTTTGGTAAATAGTCAAGCTGCCATTATCGAGGACTTGAGGCAGCAGCTTCAAGAGCGAGTAAACAAAGCAAAGAGCAGCCGACAAGAAGATCAGAGGCAGTCGGGACATGGGTTGCCGGGACAACCATCTGCAGCGGGGTCTCGCCAGGAGTCACCCATGGGGAGAGTTATCCTAGAACCATTGGAGGCGAAGGCCAAGAGGGAGGCAGAGAGAGAGGCCTTCGAGTTCAGAGCCCCTACTAAACTCGCGACGCTACCTATAGTAGCGGTGGGCCCCGTCATGCCATTGGCAGTTGAGGAGGGGCAGCCACCATCCAGCAGTGAGTCAACTCAGGGCTCAGCGGAGGGATCCATGGACGCGTTCCTTGAGGCAGTGCACACTATGCAAGAAGAGGCGAGTTTGTTTTCGCCTGAACAAAGGATAGAGGAGCCTCATGTGAGAGAAATGGGGATTGAGACGGAGGATGTCATTGAGGGCGGGCCCCAGAGATTGGATACGCCTAAGTATGGTCCAGAGGGGATTGGGATTCGATCAGGACCAAGTACCCAGGAGCTGGGGGCAGGACCAGAGTAGTCGTTGGATATGGCTCGAAGTCATGAGCTGAGCAGAAAGGCTAGCGGAACACCATCATCGCCAGGATCCCAGAAGGAGAAGAAGAAGTCCAGGAAGTGGTTTGATACATCCTGCTTCTTCTGCACAAAGGAGGGTCATCGAGCCTTGCAGTGTCCTAAATTTTTAAAGGACAAGGCTGAAGGGAACGTTACAGAGGAGGGTGACAGGATGTATGATAGACGGGGTAGGAGAGTGGAGAGATCAGCAGATGGGGGCAGGGCTCAACTATATAGGCAGAACCAGGAGGAGATGTGTGAGTAGGGTAGGTTTACCTATATGGTTGGCATGTTGTATATAGGACTTGGGCTTAGGATTAGATAACACCCTTTAGGCTTAGATATTCTCTTACATTTGACAAATGGTTTGGATCTGGATTTTTCTTATTACGCTTGCCATCTTGAGGGCCAGAACATGATAGATGAGGCGTGTACATATCCAGGTGGCCTACACCCTGACCTTTGAGAAACAAACCCAGCATGTATTCTAAGGGTAGTACTAGTGTGAGTTTGGATTTGTTTGAAACGAGTGAGCTATGGATTGGAGATATTTTTGTGTGGGACATTTTATCCCTGAGTGTATATTATATCGAGACCTTTTCAGAGACTATTTTTCGTATATGATGATCACTCTCACGCTCACATGTGTGGTTCTTACTCTGATGGATGATGACTTTGTGTGAACAATATGTGGGAAATATTTCATACGTTTTATACCTCATGAATGCGAATGTAAGTAAACTGTCTACTCTTCAGTATACCCGTGTGGCCTGCCTTTTGCGCAAAAGATAAGGCCGGGTATAAGGAGAGGAAGTGCAGTCCGTTTTGTGAAAGATGTGAGAATCTCGGATGTTCACTATGTTAAATATTTATTGTTTGAGTGTGCAGGAAACCCATAAGTTGATTTATTCATAGGAATCGTATTATACTATAATGATTGAGACACCCTTGAATAGAAAGATAGTCCATTGTTTGATTGGGAGACTCATCTTCAGAGAGGGAAGATGTGTTAAGGAAAGATCACATGAAAAGTTCATCATAGAGAGAGAGGGATGACTAGAGAGACCTATTGAAGACTGAATAGTAAAAGACTGAATGAAAGGTTGATTCTGAATAATAAAAGACTGACGAGAGGAACCAAAATTTTGCGTGGTTATTGGTGAAATGTTTGGATGTCGCAAATGACTCATTTCGAGGGATGTCACTAAGATGTGTGACTTTCTTACTCTGATCAAGTTAGGAGGCCACGACGTTGTGAGTCTGGCGGTGATTTTTGTTTGTGATTGTGGAGAGGTTGTCGTGCTTCTCTATGTTGTCTCATAGAGAACTGGTAAATACCTTTTATGTGTGACAGGTCTATGTATAGTCCCGCAGTAGACCTGTATTGTTGCGACACATCGTCCAGCCACTTGTGCTGATCTTGGGCATTTATAAGAGACCCAGCTAGGGGTATAACTAGCATCGTTGGGGTACAACCCTCAGTGTTGGCTGCTGATCGGCATAACATGAACAGCGGGCCTGCGTCTTGCCAAGGGAGTAAGGACTTAAAGGGGTGTGATCACCTAGGAGGGTTTTACTCCTGCAGTGCGGTGTGGGATAAGAGTCGAGTCATGTGAGTCTTTCTGAGTCCAGGTTGAATGCTTACCAGGAAAAAGTCTATCGCGGCGCAACCCGCGTGGTCACTACCGCTAAAATAACAACGTGGTGGGCCGTAGATCTGACGTGATCACCCAGACTATGGTGCGCCAAGATGGAGACGTAGTCTTTCTGTACTAGACTGCAGGAAAAATTTATATGGAGATTTATGCGATATATATGTATGTTTGGTGCGAAAATTTTGAAAGGGAGGCGAGAGAATGCCTTCAGAGGTCTCGGTTAGGGCCCAAGTCCCTAGTCATGACCCTGTTTACAAGGGAAAGGCTAGAGACACACAACGAGAAGTCGGCGACTGTCTAGGGCAAAGAGGAGAGGACAGTGAGAGATCCAGTAAAACTTATGTTGTAGAATAGTGATAAGTACCTCGACGTCCGAGTGTCAGGACATCGAAGACCCAGGTTGGAATCCTGACAGCGTAAAGTTGTGTTTGGCATGGATTGTTGGAGGCTTCGAACCTGAGTCTGTCGGCTAATCGGATTGGTACCTTTCTTGTCAGCATTTTTGAATGTGGTTGAGCTGATAGTTTTTTTATCCTGCGAAGCGACGAGGACGTCGCTTAATATGGTTCGGTAAGTTGTGGGCACGAATACCCTTACAAGGGTATCCGCCCTAGGTTTTGCAAGTGACAGAAAATAAGTCTAGCTTAAACAATTTTGAGCTAACCGTGCTGGTCGCCGAAGTCTTTTGACTGAAAGTTGACTACAATATCTAGAAACAGAGATTGAGTGAGCGCGTAAAATTTAAGGCGCGCGTGTGATCCTTTCTTTTTTGTTTGTATTGCCGTAAGGCCTGTACAATTGGTCGGGCCTAGGTTTCCTATTGATGGTTAAGCGTTACCACGCTTTGGTTCGGTACGACTCACCGATGGCAGGTCTGGCAACCAAAGGAGGGAGCACGACGGTTATGCTACGGCTCGGATAAGCCGGCGTCACGGTGAGCATGCGGAGGCCGCACAACTGGGTGGAGGCAGAAGTAAGGCCCAAGTCGAATTTTGGCCTTACAATCTAACGCGGCACCGTTTTATGTAGGATTCTCCGCTGGCTAATCCCAGGCTTGGGCTTAGCCCTATTGGTTATGGCTTTGGATTGGTACTACGGAGGTTCTGGGATCGAGGCCAGCGAGCGTCGGCGTAACAGCAATGGATCAGCGTGGAGCGAAACCTGAGGGGTTGAGGGCCCGGAGGGGCTTTCCCCCCTCGGTTTTGTTAGCGGGTGCGGCGGCGGGCCCGATCCACGGGATAAACGAAGTGCTTGTAGTCCCCCTCCCCCTTTTTTCCGTTCTGTTTCTTTATTAGTTTTTATACTTCTTATTATTTTTGTTTTAATTGTCATCTTTTTGCTCGCGCCCCGTTTCGGGACGCGATACCGGGGTCGATATAGGGTCGCATGGAGTGTGTTACATTCGCAGGGTTGCCTGAAGTGGAATTGCAGAGTGTGTTCGTGACCGCGCAGGGGCTGCCTTAACCACGCCCCATTTTGCTTGGGACGCGGCTTAGTGGGCGTGGTACGGGACCCGAGAGCCTAGCTCAGTGGGTACACCCATGAGCTGTTGAAATACAGACCTGTGTTCGAATCCATATGGTGGGACTCAGGGCCGGGGCTGATCGATCCCGCGGCCCAGGCGTCTGTCCTTCGGGACATCCGTTAAAATTGGAATGATACAGAGGAGATTAGCATGAACCCTGCGCAAGGAGGACATGCATAAATCAGAGGTAATTTCCTCCCCTCGTTTGCTTTGTCTTACCTTCAAGCCGACCGACATTCGAGTTGTCCAGGCCGCAAAGCGCTGGTGTTGTTGACCACAACGCTGCGGAGGAGGAAGGACGCACCCGGACGCGAAGGGGGCGCAAGGTGCGTGCGGAGTGAAGAGAGTTGGAAATGGCGGGGAGGTAGATGTGGCGCAGCAGGAACAAGGCCGCACGCGCGATACTCGATGGTTTTTGGCAAGGAGAAGTGCTGCACGGAGGTTTTGGTAGTAGGCGAGCAAGGATCTGCGGTTGGAATTAGTAGAGAGTTAGTGGATATGGAGTTAGTGTAGAAAAGAAGTGTGCAGAGAGGTAACGAGAGGAGGTTGTGGTAGATAACAAAAGTGCATGCCTCGCTCATTTTTTTATGAGAATGAGCGAGGGAGGATAGTAGCTAGGGGTTCTCGACGTAGGCGACCCCGTTGGGGCGATCAGATTAGTGTAGAAGTCGGTGTAAGAGGAGTTAGTGGGGGAAAGTAGTGCGCGGGGCTATGGCGGGAGTGAAGGGGGTGAGGAATGAAACGAGAATGGTTTGGTCGTTCCTTATTCGATTTCGGCAAGGAGAGGGCTGTTGTTGCCATTGTGGATCAGGGCGAACTCAATGGTAGAGTCAAATTTTGCTTTAAGAAAGCGGCTCCAGCGGGGGGGGATGGTCTTCCACTACGTGTGGGGAACGTGACTTCAAGATGCGGATGCACCAAGCCACGTTCGGGCGTTAGATGCATTCGGTTCGGCAAATTCTGACGCTATAAGCAGCGGGGGAGTAGCCGCGTGGAAGTAAACTTACCTGTGGGCTAACGCCTTGGCCAACCCACCAATGGAAGTAACGCCTCTCTACGTCCCTGAGCGTGCGGCCGGGAAGGCATGAATCTTTCCGTACTCAAACAGAAGATTCATTCGATTTCTGTTTGGTCTATCGAGGGAGCGGCGTAAGGTCATGAAAAGAAAGAGAGAGGCGTTCCACTTACCATTGGGAACTGTCGGTACGGGAGGGATTGGCATGGTGTTCTGCGACTGATCGGCGGGAAGAGGAGATGCGAGGAAGAAACGGGGTCGGGAGCTTACCTGTCGACAGGCGTTGCAACCGGCAACACCAATGAGTGTATCCCCCCGTGTGCTAGGGGAAGATTCGCTCTGGCTTTGCACGATTGCGTCGATTGGCGAATAGGGAAGTAGCGTGTGGCCAACTGCGGCGAGGCTTTGAGTGGCTTGATGCAACAGACTGATTCGAGCTGGTGGTTCCACTGCTGTACTGCTTCAAGCCTACTGCCCTCGTTGCAGGGCTACTGTGTCTTTGTTGGTGCAACAGTGCAAGGTACATACTGCCACAGCTGTACTTCCACTACTACAGCAGCTGTTGTACATGTTACAGATAGCAGCATGGTGCTGCTGAATGGGCAGTGTCTCACCGCGAGGGAAGAGATTGTTGTGCACGCGGCGTCATTATACCACTCTGCTGAGCACACTGGGTCCCGTTGGAAATTTAGCATGGTGTTTGGCAGCGACTCGGATGATAGTGAGAAGGGAGTGGTAAGGCTGTAAAGGGAAGACTGCTGCTGCTGCTGGTGGAGTGATTGGTTTATGAAAAAAATGATTATTATT